ACATTTCATTCCCATCTTTCTCCTATTCCTTTAGATTTAGATATATGCATATTATGTTTATCTATTTAGGTATATGCTAAGTTTACTTATCTCTTTAATGCCTAAACATAATTTTGATTATTAGAAATTATTTCAATGTTTTACAGAAAGATAGCACAATTGTACATTTCATTTCCATCTTTCTGCTATTCCTTAATAATTTATCCTTGACATATGATGCAATGCTTATTCATCCATTCTTTAATTGCAGGGGTGCTGATAACTATAAGTGATCTTATTGAGAATTTGGGTGACCTCTTGAAAATAAAGCTTGGTCAGTAAATTGATAATGGCAATGCCTTTATAACTTATAAGAGACAACAAGGATCCTGTTAATGAGGTAGATTTGTTGGTTTTTGTTATTTTTTTCATAATAAGCATCAATAACAGGATTGTTAAGTATATTCTATACGTACTATGATATGATACTTCTCATTCCACTGATTTCTATTAACTTGTCTAAGCCAGAGCATTTTACACTTTTTTTATATCTAAGATAAATGAAACAATTTGTAAGACCCTGGAGTATTTTTGTTTTTTGCATAAATATGCAAAATATGTTGCTCTGAAGTGGAATTTTCGATTGGTTGTGACAGGTGTTGCTTGTAACATGATTACCATTCTTAATGGGTCAGGTAATTTTATTCAAACTTGTGGTATCTTGTTGTCTCTGATTTCGTTGTGCGATAGAAACAACAGTGAAGAATGATAACGGAAAGCCTGCAACTTTCATATTATATAGAGTAAACATATAGGAAAACATAATGCTAAAGATTAATAATAAGCAACAACACTAATCTGGAACTATAAAAAAGATAATACTTACTATTAGTCTTCTAATAATAATACTAATGATTATAGAAATACATGTTCAGATTTTTAAGTAAAGCAAACACTGCAAATTCTAATGTTGTGGAGTATGACGGGGTTCAGTTTCATGGGGTGGGGGTGTTGACTGTGAAGCTGGATGATGGAAGGAGAGTGAAATCCAAAAGAGATGAGAGAATGAGATGGGTGGAGGGAAAAGACAACGGAGAAGAGTACAAGTAAGGTTTTTAGGACAAACTTGAGGAGAGTTTTAGAACGTATCATGATAACTGGCAAGCAATTGTAAAAGCCTGTGAGAGAATAAACAAGGTATGCTATGTTTTATTTATATTAAAGATTTTTTTTGCTAGCCAAATGACCCACCACCCTGGAAAAAAACTTAGAATGTATTGAAAACTACAAGTAGTATCAAAACTATTAAAAAGTAACATTAGAACTCAATTTTGTCCCTATCTATTCTTACTTCTAATTAGTTTAAAGTAGTGCTTTATATGAAACTATGTGCATAGTGCATTTTAGTATGCTATGTTGGTAACGGAAGGAAAGAACTGATCCTTGGTCGGTTAATTTTTTGTAGTTAGCAGAACAATTATTGCTTCTCATTCAAACTCCTATGATGTGGACACTTTCCATAATTTTTCTTTGTAAAGCTCTGGTTTGAAAACTACAACTGTATGATCGGCCAATGCTAAAGAGTAAGATTAAGACAACATCTTATGTCACAAATTTCTTTCTCTATCTTTCTTTCTTTCTTTTACTTGAGTTATTTCCTCCTTCTCTAAGTCTATTCCTTTGAGCTGCTTCTTAACCGAAAGCTCTCATTGTAATGGAGGCCTGGAATCTAATGAGACTAGCTACACGGACACTTGAAGAAAGAGTAAAGCAAATATGCTTCTGAGTTCTACTCTTAAGCATCAATAACCTGGTTTAGGTATAGTTACACGATTACACCCATTCCATCATGATATGTTCCATTATTTGGAACCACTAATAAAAAAGGTTGAACCAAGTACTGGTTGGTGGTGATTGGATTACACCCATTCCATTTATGCTTCTTCCAAAATATTTACCTTTTCTAAAGAGATAATATAATATTATTGGTTTTATAAAAAGTTGCTTTGTAATATAACCAAGTAGTAGGCAGTAGCAAGGAGGAGTAAGAAGCCTACTTAATTCTCAAAATTCATTTCGTAGGAGGAGATAGCTCATAGGTAAATTTGATGTTTGATTAATTGCCTTTCCTTTCTAATCATCTAATTTTCATCTAATTTTAGTGTGTGGATTGTAGTTCTTGTTTGATTATTATCAGTGCATAATAACAACCAGGTTTTGTCAAGTTAAGGCTGCTGCACTACCTTCCAGAAAAAATTGCACTCGAGACCACGTATGGAGAAGAAATAAGAGGTCCCTTATTTGACTACACAATTTCTATGTCTTTTGCACATGAAATGGCATATATTTCGACTTTTCAGTGTGAAACGTCAAAGTAGTGTAGATTATGGTAATCAAATAGGTTTTGTGATTTGTGAAAATAATGGAATTGATGCCCTACATTGCAGAAAAAATTAGCATTGGAGACCACGTTTGAAGAAGAAATAAGAGGTAGTATGCACTATGGCTTTTTATGAAATGCATTTCATGGTATTCTTAGTGTTATTTTTCTGTTGATTATTTATATATGCATAGTGTTTATTTATTATTAGTGTTTTTCAATTGTTTGGATTTTCTAAAACTATTTAAAGGGATTAAAAAAACTATGCAAAGGAATGATATCTTGTGTCAGTTACTTCATTATTAGACTATGCATTCATGTTAAAGATGCAATAAAGCATGTGAATCTACGTGAAAATTTAATTATGTAATTGCTTATTATTTTAGGTTTGCAAGAGCACTACAGGAGATAAAGCGTTGTTAAAAGATGAAATCGGTGAATTTGAGGATGCACGGGCCATCTATTTTTGTATTTTTTGCAAGCTTTGTACATACATAAAGAATGTATTCTATGACTAAATTTTATTGTATTGGATGTGTATGATGTTTGGAAAGGTAAAGAATGTATTCTAAGAATAATTAATTGTGTTCTTAAAATTATTTTGAAGAATGCATTCTAGAAGAAATAATTCGGTTCCAACTTCTAAGAAAGCAAGAATACATAATCGTCAATATGGGGAATGGTGATAAAAGCAGCCAATCCACTACGTCATCTTGGTAATGTAGGAGTAATTAAATTGCTGCGGTTGTTACTTGACCGCAACAATAAGTATTTTAAGAAAAATTTCGAATGAGTATTTGCTGTGGTTGTGAACCGCACCAAAAAGGTTAATTCACATATTGCTGCTCCCTCAATTGCTGCGGTTCAGAACCGCAGCAAATAGGTCAAAATGACCGCAGCAAATAAACATTTTTCTAGTAGTGATTATCTTTTCTTTTTTAGGAATTCCAAAAAGCTTTGTCTCTTTCTTTTTTAGTCAATATTTTGTAGTTTATGATACTTCTATCTCCACTACACAAATATAAATCACACCATTTTTATATTATTATAATTCATGCCGGTCAAAGAAGTTGTTCTCTTCATCTGATCTGAATGTTTCTGATCTGAATTTTTTAAGTTCTAATCTGATCTGATCTGAATTTTTTTGATCTGATCTGAATCTTTCTGATCTGGTTTGATCTTATCCGAATGTTCCTGATCTGATCTGAATGTTCCTGATCTGATCTGAATGTTCCTGATCTGATCTAAATGTTTCTGATCTGATTTGAATCTTTCTGATCTGATCTGATTTGAATATTTCTAAAATTATAATTATAATTATAATTATAATTACTATAATTACAAATGTAATTACACATATATAATTTAAATATAATTATAATAATAATTATAGAAAAATTAAAATTATAATTATAATCATAATTATAATAGGTATAATTATTATACGTATTACACTAGTTATAAATATAGCTATAATTATAATTGTAATTATATTTTTAGTTATATTTATTTCTATAATTATAATTTTAATTATAATTAGAATATTTATTTCTATAATTTTAATTGTAATTACTCCATATAATATAATAATAATAACAAAAACAAAACTAATAATAATAACAACAACAACCATAATAGTAATAAGAATAATAATCATAATAATAATTATAAATATAATAATAATCATAATAATAATAATAATAATCATCATAGAAATCATAGTAATAATAATAATAATAATAATAATAATAATAATAATAATAATAATAATAATAAATAATAATAATAATAATTAATAATAGTAATTATAATAATTATAATAAGAACAATAATAAGAATAATAATAGTAATAATTAATAATAATAATAATAATAATAATAACAATAATAATAACAATAATAATAACAATAATAATAAAAATAATAATAATAACAACAACAACAACAACAACAACAACAATAATAATAATAATAATAATAGTAGTAGTAGTAGTAGTAGTAATAAGAGTAATAATAATAGTAATAATAGTAATAATAGTAATAATAGTAATAATAGTAATAATAATAATAATAATAATAATAATAATAATAATAATAATAACAGTATCAATAATAATAGTAATTATAATAATAATTACAATAACAACAAGAATAATAATAATTATTATTATAATTATAATTATTATTAATATTATGATAATTATTACTATAATAAAAGAGATAAATCATGTCTGAACTTTTCTGATCTGATCTGAATATTTCTGATCTGATATGAATGTTCCTGATCGGATCTGAATCTTTCTGATTTGATCTGAATCTTTCTGATCTGATCTGAATGATTCTGATCTGATTTGATATGAATGATTCTGATCTGAACTGATCTGATCTGAATCTTTTTTATCTGATCTGATCTAATCTGAATTTTTATGATCTCATCTAATCTGAAAAAAATAAGAATAAGTAATAAATAATAAGATTAGGATGAACATAACACCTTCAACTTGATACTCAATACTAAGTAAAATTTTTGAAGGGACAGAATAATAAATTGAACGACGTCGGTGTGTCGTACTCGATACTCAACACTCCGTAATGAATAACACGTACGGATTTTCCAGAAAGCATGCCAGTTTCGGATGCATCTAGCGTCAGTTGTTGCCTAGCTACTTGCTCACGTACTGAAATTCCTGGAATTTAAGAACCGACCGATAACGAATAAGCTAAGCTAAGCTATATACAGACTTCACTGAAATTTCCTAGCTTCGGGATGAGTATGGCCATGGCTGCTCATGCAAGAAACATTGCATTGCTCTTATTATTAGTCTTATTACTCTTACTTCCACTTCTGGTAAGCCCACAGAATTACAGCTCGACGACAGACACCATTACCCTCAATCAACCTCTCAGAGATGGGGAGCTATTAATCTCTAAAGATAATTCTTACGCTCTCGGTTTCTTCACCCCCGGAAATTCCACCGGCAGGCGTTACGTCGGAATTTGGTACCGGAAAATCCGAGAACGCCTCGTCGTTTGGGTGGCGAACAGAAACATCCCCGTCAATGGCATGTCGGGAGCCCTCTTCATCGACGTCACCGGCAACCTCGTCATCCAAGACACGAAATCCAACATCTCTGTCTGGAACACCAGTCTTGATTTTCCGGCGACCAGCTCAAAGGTATCCACCTCTGCTCAGCTCCGAGAAACCGGGAATCTGGTCTTGTCTCATAATGATCAAAAGACAGCGGCGTGGCAGAGTTTCGATCATCCGACGAACACATTACTGGCCCACATGAAATTCGGGGTGGACCGGAAACGCGGCCTGAATCTTTCTTTTTCGTCGTGGAAGTCGCCGGATGATCCCGCCGTCGGCGACTACACTTGCAGCTTACAAATGATGGGAAAGCCCCAAGCTTTCATGTTCAAGGATTCGACCCCGGTCTGGAGAATGGGTCCGTGGAACGGAATCCGGTGGGCCGCCGCGTCGGAGATGACTCCGACCTTCACACCGTACGTGTTCACGGACAACGCCGACGAGGTGACGGAGGGGTACTTAATAAAAGACCCGAGTATGTACTCTGTCTTGATGCTGAACGAGTCGGGGACGGTGAATCGGATCATTTGGGAAGGAGATACCGACGGCCGGAATATGAAGTGGATCGGAAACTGGTACTTTCCGATCGACGACTGTGACTCGTACGCGCACTGCGGCGCGTTTGGGATATGCAATCCGGTAAGTCAGCTTTCCAGATTCGAGTGTAGGTGCGTGCCCGGGTTTGAACCGAAGAATGCCGCCGAATGGAACCGGAGCGACGGGAGACACGGCTGCCGGAGACCGGGTAACGGGAACGAACTCTGCCGTAACGGCGAGGGTTTTTTGAAGTTGGAGTATGTTAAGATTCCAGACACGCGAATGGCGCGCGTGGATAGAGACATGGGGTTGGAGGAGTGTGAGGAACTTTGCTTGAAGAACTGTTCTTGCAGCGGATACGCCGCAAATAACATCAGCGACGGCGGGACGGGATGCATCACTTGGTACGGTGAGTTGATTGATATAAAGGAGTTCATTCATGGAGGCCAGGATCTGTTTATTCGTGTCGCCTCATCCGATTTAGGTATGTCTTGTTTTTTCCCAGAAGTAAAAATTCCCCTTTTAGTTCAAAGCAATTAATTATACTATTTTCCTCTTTTCCTCCCGTTTTAGTTCATGTCATATAAAAATGATATGATATAAAAATGATATGAAAATGTTATTTATAAAAAATGCGTAGTTTATCGTAGAAGTATAAATTATTAAATTTTGTATAGATATATTAGTTCAAATTATTTGTAAAGTTCACCATCTTTGATTGAAATAGAGGTATTTGAGAAAACAAACACCGCCACATCTTTAAGAAAATGCAATTAATTGTAGCTAGGTTACACTAGGCAAAATTGCTGGAGCAAATTAACTTTGAAGTTAGTTTTTCAAAGTAAATTGTTTATATGAACCAATCAAACTACTCGAATTAAGCACTTAAAATATAGTTAAGTGATGAAATTATGATGTTGACTGGACCATATTCTCTCGGTCAAAATGAACTTTGACAACTATTCCTGGTTTAGTTGTCCCAAAAAATTTTACCACTTTCTAATTAAATTAATTATTTAGACGTCAAAAAAATTAAAGTATTTATTTAGTGGTTCTTTTCATTTCTCTCTTTATTTAAAACATCAATCATGCAATTTTTGTACTTCTTATTTCTCACATAATTAAAAATGTGCAATGTTCATTAGAAGGAGATAATGCACAATATGTATTTTTAAGTATTAGGGGTGGACATAATGGTTTGGTTTAACCAAACCAAATCGTACCAAATCGAACTAAACTGAACCGAAACCGGATCATATGCAATTTGGTTTGATTGTGGTAGTATTTCTTCCAAACCATATTAAACTGAACCAAATCAAAACCGATAAAAACTGAACAAAACCAAACCGAGCTAAAGAAATTCAATAAAATCCTTATATATTATCAAAAATATAACAAATTCAAACCGATCCAAACCGCACTAAACCGAACCTAACCAAACCGCAAAATAGTATGGTTTTTTTGGTACTAATTCTCCCAACCCGTTCCAAATTGAACCAAACCGAAACCGATAAAAACCGAACCAAAAACCAATATGCTCACCCCTAATAAGTATGGTGACCTCACATTTTAATGGGTATCGTGACAACCATATCATACCAATACCAAACAATGCCACTTTTCCAAATGTTTAAGGACAAATTAAAGTTTAGTCATCCTCCAAAAATCTACACAATTTATTAATTTTCATATTACATAATTAATAACTTTAAAAAAAATTGCATACAGAGTAATTAATAAATTCTAGATAAACAATATTATTACAAGTTTAAATAATTAAATTAAACCATATGTTGGTCCGGTTCCATGCTTCTAGTGAATTAGCAAAGGTTGTGAAAGTATGAAAGCAGTAGTCAAAATAATGGTATAAATGTAAATTTAAATAACTAAATCATACTTCGGTCTGGTACCGGTTCTCATTTTATGAGAACCGGTCATGGCATTGTTTGGAACCGGTATGGTCCGGTTCGGAACAAAAATTTGAGATCCATTTCAAACCCCATTTTTCGGTCCGGTACCATATCGGTCCAGTTCCGTACCATGCCGGTTCGGTATTTTCCCCCACCCCTAATTATATTAGTCTTCAACACAAGTTTACTTTTTTTCAAAAAATACTCTAGTAAAAAGTTCGTTTTTCCTACAAAAATACTCTTTCCAAAAAAGACACTAACAAAATTAATCTCCAGTACAAGTTTTTTAGACATGGAGCTTTTCAAAATCTAGTGGTACATTCTTTCAATGGAAAAACTATTTATACACATAAATTGTACACATTTCTTGTACACGTTACCTAATTGCTTGTGTACACGGATAGCTCATTCAGAAACTGTTTTACATACATATATAGACAACTAAGAGTGTAAATGAAATGTGTACAACTTATGTGTACAAGTACGTTCTTCTTTCGATACAATACTAGTGTGGTCTGTCTGGTCTGGACTGAAAAGGTCCAAGTAAAAACATCATATTAATTCCCTAATGAGAATTGATCGGACAGATCATTTGGAGGCTTTTAAACCCGAAACGGTCCTTTATTAATGAGTTCAACGTACTCCACAATACTCAAGTGTCAAGCTATTTATTTTTCTCGTCTAATTTCAGGTCAATATGGAATGAAAAGTGCAAATAAGCATCGTTGGAAATGGGCAAGAGTAATTGTCATTGTTCCTATTATTGGTGCACTAATGCTCGTGTTCTTTTGCTTTGCAATGAAACGGATGAAAGGTATACAACTATATACATATATAAAACTCTTAAAAAGAACAAAGCATTTAAGTGTTTTTTATGTGGGTGATTAAGTGTGTAGAACAGAGATTTGTTGAGAAAGGATTTATAGGAGAATTCGGAGTAGTTATTAATTATGTGCTTTTTTACTTGTGTAATAAATAGGTGACGGATGCTCAATTTATAGATCCTAGTGATTTTTTTTCCTAGTGATATTTGTAGTCATTCCTACATCAGCACTATTCTACTACGTAGCACATTTCATTAGCTTCTACAATATACGAATATTACTCTTGCAAAAAAAAAAGAATATTACATTCTGGATTTAATAATGATTACGAGATAAGTCAAATTTAATTTCTCACAAATATATACTACTACTTCTTTCAAAAAAAAATATACTGCTATTATTTTTAAACAATTGTAACTTGAATTTCGTATTATTCAAATATTCTATTTTATCATCATTTATATATTAATGTATGAAAAAATTATATTTTGCACAATATATTTAATTCGTCTCATTAAAAAAACTATTGTAATATTTAATAATTTTTTATAATTGTGAGTTAAATAAATTAATGTTTAAATAGAAATTGCTTAATATAGGACTAAAACATACACAAAATTCAAAAATACGACTAAGTAAGTTTTATTTCCCAAATATGACTTATTTAATCTTATTAAATGAATTACTTGATTAAAACTTCCTATTTGTGAACTTTATTCATATTTTAGTCTTACGTAGGAAATCTTCTCATGATTAAAGTCGTGATAAACATGAAAATGAAAGTGTTGTACATAGAAACAAAACGGATCGGATGAAGTAGTTTTCCACATTAATAATTATTTTCACCAAAAAACACTATCTCAATGCAATATGAGTTCTAATAATGTTGACACGTGTTGCTTGTATGGATTTTTTAGAAACTCTAATGGGCTGAAATTGAAAATTCTGTAATATGTATACACTTAATAGTGAGTATGAGTTACAAACACCATCTTAGACACCTGTAGATCTTATGAGATTAAATCAACAGATCAAATATCTCTTCTTAAAAGAGCCAACTACCTTGATCTGATGAAATCGTTGCTGATCTCCCAAAGAGGAGGTCGTAGGTTTGAGTCTCATTTCAATCAAGCATGTTGGCATTAACATGAGCAGATAGTGTAATAGGTTTAAAAGAATATTCCAAAAAACTATATATGGAAAATGTACGTAATATATTTTGAAAATTATATATATACTACCTCCGTCCTGAAAGATTCGTCATATTGATAGGTTAATTTTAGTTATTATATTTATCAATAATTTATAAATTTTATACTTTTATGAAAACATTTTAATATAACTTTCATATTCAAAATAATTTCGTATTAAATAATGTGATTGGTCAAAGTTGATTATAATCGATAAAAAAAAATCAATTTGGAAAACCTTTTCGTAAGGGTAGGCACGGCCTAGTCCGTCCAATATTTTGCCGAACCCGTACCCGGACCGTGACTATTGAAACAGTTCGGTTCGGTGTTAGACATAAACACGTTCGGTGGTTCCATTTTCAAACAGGAAAGTATCATGTCATACCAATACCAAACAATGCCACTTTTTCTGGAAAATTAAAGTTTATCTTCCCAAAACCCACACAATTTATCAATTTTCATTTTATAAAATTAATAAATTTCAGATAAACTATAGTATTACAAAACATAAATCAAAACATTAATTTCAAATATACTAGCTCTAGTAGATTGCCTCCAAGTCCCCAACTGCAATTTCAAACTCTTTTTTTGTTGCTGTCTATCAATTTGAAATATCTTTTTCATGTTCATGGGCAGTTAAACTTCCAAATCTTGCATTTGTCAACTCTATATTTAACAACCAAATCAAAGATTGTAAACCACAATAAATTAATATAAAATAAGATGGTATAATAATCAATTTGCTAAATTATTAGGAAAGTGCAAACACAGTAATAAAACTAATGCTATACATGTACATATCAATTTGCGTCGTTTAGTTTCTAGATTTCATTTACCTATTTCTTCCAATAAATTACCTTCCATTTGTGAATCTTGTCAGTTAGGGAAAAGTCATCGACTTTCCATAACTAGTACTCATTCATCTAGTTTGCATCCTTTTGACTTAATTTATTCTGATGTGTGGGGCCCAGCCCCGGTAAACTCCTTTAATGGTAATAAGTATTTTGTTATTTTTGTTGATGATTGCACTAAGTTTGTATGGATTTATTTTTTACATAAAAAATCCCAAGTTCTTTCCACTTTTCAAATTTTTCAGGCCATGATTGCCACCCAATTTAACTCTAAAATTAAACAACTCCAGTCCGACTGGGGTGGAGAATACAGATCACTCTCGGCATACCTGCAAACCCAGGGTATTCTCCATCGCCTTTCCTGCCCTCATACGCAATCCCAAAATGGAGCGGCTGAGCGCCGTCATCGGACGATAGTTGAAAAAGGCCTGGCCTTGCTTGCTCATGCACACATGCCTTACTCCTTTTGGGAACATGCGTTTCACACTAGTGTTTATTTACACAATCGCACCCTAACACCCATTTTAAAAGACAAATCACCCTTTGAATCTTTATATGGCAAACCACCCGACTACTCTCTTTTAAAATCTTTTGGTTGTCTTTGTTATCCTCTTTTACGACCCTATAATGCTAACAAACTTGAGTTTAGGTCATCTTCTTGTATTTTTGTTGGTTATAGCTCCAAACACAAGGGCTATCAATGTCTTCATGTTCCTACTAATCGTATTTATATTGTTAGGCATGTCATGTTTGATGAGACGTCCTTCCCATATCCTTCCCATGCTCACCCTGCTTCCATCACTCCCCTTTCCTCCACCCGTGCAGTATCCCCTCAACCATTACAACTAGCCTCCACACCATCTTCTTTCCCGTTTCACTCCCCTACCTCGCTGCCTGCCCAGCCCGATCGGGTATTTCCATCCCCCGATCGGGTACCTCCCTCACCTGAACTACACAACTCTCTGGAACCCACACCCGATCGGGTATCTCCCTCACCCGATCGGGTAACCGGCCATTCTCAACCCCACAGCACCTCACCCACTACAGTTTCATCTTCCAGCTCCGGTGCAACGGTTCAGTCCTTGGATTCCGCGCAACACTCAGGTATATCTCCCTCACCCTCTTCATCCACGTTTCCTACTTATTACAGACCTGTTGATACCTCCACTCATCCCATGATCACTCGTTCCAAAACAAACCATCTAAAACCCAAATCTCTCCTTTCCACCAAACATCCCCTTTCCATACCCTCGTCTATACCCTTTGAACCACAGACCTTTCTTCAAGCAGCCAAATATCCTGAATGGCAGCATGCGATGCAAGTAGAGTATGATGCTCTAATTAAAAATGGGACTTGGGATCTTGTCTTACCTCCTCGTAACTCTAATATTGTTGGTTGTAAGTGGGTGTACAGGGTAAAGAAGCATGCTGATGGCACTATTGAGCGTTATAAAGCACGCCTGGTAGCTAAGGGTTTTAACCAGGAGGAGGGTGTTGACTACTCAGACACCTTCAGTCCGGTTATTAAACCTACCACCATTCGCATTGTGCTCTCCTTGGCCTTATCCTTTGGGTGGAAATTACGACAGGTTGATATTGCTAATGCTTTTCTTAATGGTGATCTCTCTGAAACTGTTTACATGACCCAACCTCCAGGTTTCATAGATCATGCTCGCCCTACACATGTTTGTCTGTTGCGGAAAGCTCTCTATGGTCTTAAACAGGCCCCTCGTGCTTGGTTTCACAAACTCCGCCAGTTTCTTCATCACCATCACTTCGTTGCATGCAAATCTGACACTTCCTTGTTCATACGCCGTCACAACAGTACCACTCTCTATGTCTTAATTTATGTGGATGACTTAATTATCACGGGTTCTCATTCTACAGAGATTGATACTTTTGTGACTACGCTTAATGATGCCTTTACACTACGTGACTTGGGAGATCTTCACTATTTTTTGGGCATAGAGCTAACGCGCTCCACTTCCTCTATTTTTCTGAGTCAACAGAAATACATTACTGAGCTTCTCATGCGTAGCAAAATGCATGACGCTCGTCCGATTGTATCACCTGCCGAGCCAGGCTCTCGCCTCTCAAATTCAGGTGATCCTATGGCTGAGCCTAATCTTTACCGTAGTGTTGTTGGAGCTCTCCAATATGTCACTATCACACGGCCCGAGATATCTTATGCTGTTAACCGTGTGTGTCAGTTCATGCATGCTCCTACAGACATTCATTGGCAAGCAGTCAAGCGCATCCTTCGTTACCTCAAAGGCACAATCACCACCGGTCTCCACCTACGGCCCTGCACAGATAATCGTCTTGTTGCTTTCTCTGATGCAGGTTGGGCTTCTGACATTGATGATTGTCGCTCACAACATGGCTTTGCTATTTATTATGGTGGTAATCTTATCAGTTGGGCGTCCAAGAAACAGCATGTTGTCGCCAAATACAGTACTGAGGCTGAATACAGAGCCATTGCATTCACATCCACTGAACTCATTTGGATTCAGCAGCTTTTGCGGGAATTACAGGCTCCATTGCACATCCCACCCATTCTCCTATGTGATAATCTTAGTGCCACCTACATGGTTGCCAATCCTGTGTTTCATCAACGCTCCAAGCATATTAAAATTGACTATCATTTTGTTCGCGAACAAGTTGCGGATGGCTCTGTTATTGTTCGTCATGTTCCTGCTCTGGACCAGATTGCTGACATTTTCACCAAAGCTGTTGGAAACTCGCGGTTTACTTCTCTTCGTTCCAAGCTCCATGTTGATCAATCTCCATGAGCTTGCCGGGGGGTATTAAGGGAAAGTATTTTTGTATTTATTTGTAATATTCTCTTGGCTTATTGGGTATAATTTAGACTCCTTGTAAACACCAATAAGCCCAACCTCTTTGTATTTAAATACTCCTCTAATCATGGAATAATACAAGAATTGAAACCCTAAACACTTAACGTTATTAACACATATAATTATAAATTAATAATTATATAAACCACACTTCGGTCCGGTTCGGTCCGGTACCGGTTCTCATTTTATGAGAACTAGTCATGGCATGGTTTGGAACCAATACAGTCCAGTTCGGGACAAAAAAATTGAAAACCGTTGCGAACCTCGTTTTTCGGTCCGGTACCATACTGGTCCGGTTCGCTATTTTCGTCCACCCCTACCTTTTCGGGAGGAAGGGAGTTTCATAATAGAAAAATCAATGTATGACTAAATGTTTATGAACCATAGCAGCTAAGGAACCACTACGCAATGAAAGCTTACAATCCTATCAAGAAGGGTGTAGAGTGGGGAAATATATGGACGAAGCCCATAGACAACCCTCCGCAGATGTGTTATTATTTGATCTCAACACTATTCAAGCAGCCACGAATACCTTTGCTATTGAAAATAAACTTGGAGAAGGAGGATTTGGTTCTGTTTATAAGGTAATACATTCACTTTTGCACTACTAATAAACTAAAATAAAATATTTGAATTGTTATGTATGTTGTTGTTATTTTAGACTGAACCTATGGGCTATGTCAAGATTTTTATTTAGTCACATTAGTTTGTTAATTCATTACTAATAAGCTGAGTTCTTATTTTTTGAATTGTAATTTGGCTTTTTTTTTTGAAGGGTACATTGAAAAATGGAAAATTAATAGCCGTGAAAAGGCTCACAAAAACCTCAGGTCAAGGAATAGAAGAATTCCAAAATGAAGTTATACTAATTGCAAGATTGCAACATAGAAATCTTGTGAGGCTTTTAGGCTATTGTATTCAACAAGGGGAGAAGATGTTGGTGTATGAGTACTTACCGCATAAAGGTCTCGACAGTTTCATCTTTGGTAGGTAGATATTTGATTTTACAGTTACTTCATTAGAGCATCTCCAATGCTACAATGTGCACGGTGCCACGGTGCACATGTGGCATGAGAGATATAGATACAAAATATTGATTTTATGACATTTCTCTCTCCTTCTTTACACGGTCTTATGTGTTTTTGGTAAGTTTTTATTTGCAATGTCAACCACAATGTCTACATTTAGACATTGTGCTTGACATTGTGAAAAAAAACTTACCAAAATGATGTAAGATCCTTCAAATAAGGAGAGAAATATTCTATTTATTATTTTTTAATTGGTTATATCTCATTCCACGTATGCACCGTTAACGTTTTAGTGCTCTGATCTTAGCAATGGATGAACCTTTTTTTGATGTTGTAGGACTAATACACACACTATTCCCCTTTTATATGCACTTCTCCATGTTTCGTACTATGTCAACCTAATCACTTTGTAGTTATATTTATTTATTTATTTATTTATTTATTTATTTATTTATTTATTTATTTATTTATTTATTTATTTATTTATTTATTTATTTATTTATTTATTTATTTATTTATTTATTTATTTATTTATTTATTTATTTATTTATTTATTTATTTATTTATTTATTTATTTATTTATTTATTTATTTATTTATTTATTTATTTATTTATTTATTTATTTATTTATTTATTTATTTATTTATTTATTTATTTATTTATTTATTTATTTATTTATTTATTTATTTATTTATTTATTTATTTATTTATTTATTTATTTATTTATTTATTTATTTATTTATTTATTTATTTATTTATTTATTTATTTATTTATCTATCTATCTATCTATCTATCTATCTATCTATCTATCTATCTATCTATCTATCTATCTATCTATCTATCTATCTATCTATCTATCTATCTATCTATCTATCTATCTATCTATTTATTTATTTATTTATTTATTTATTTATTTATTTATTTATTTATTTATTTATTTATTTATTTATTTATTTATTTATTTATTTATTTATTTATTTATTTATTTATTTATTTATTTATTTATTTATTTATTTATTTATTTATTTATTTATTTATTTATTTATTTATTTATTTATTTATTTATTTATTTATTTATTTATTTATTTATTTATTTATTTATTTATTTATTTATTTATTTATTTATTTATTTATTTATTTATTTATTTATTTATTTATTTATTTATTTATTTATTTATTTATTTATTTATTTATTTATTTATTTATTTATTTATTTATTTATTTATTTATTTATTTATTTATTTATTTATTTATTTATTTATTTATTTATTTATTGTCTACACTCATCTGAACCAAACATTTTATTACTTATTTATGTTTCTATCGAATTTTCCAAATTTAACAATATGGAGAGGGTATATTATATTATTCAACAAAAGTAAATATTTTTGAATTGAAATAGTAAAATAAAATGCAATATAAAAATTTATTCTTGTTTATAATGACTTAGGATGTTTTCTTTTGGATTGAAATTTGCTGGTCTGGTCTGCCTGGTCTGGTCTGGTCTGGTCTAAACTGGTCTGGTCTGGTCTGGTAAACGTCTGGTCTCTGTGTATTTTATAACTACGGAAGTCTAGTCTGGTCGAACTTAATATTCAATAATATACGAAAAACGAATTCAAGTTTGACATATAAACGAGATATTATTTTAAAAGAGATTTCACTTGATCTAGGAATAGGACGGAGGTGGAAAAATATGACGTAAAGAGTTTGAAGTTGTACTACGTATTAATTAATCAATTAAAAATATGACGTATAATTGTTCATGCAGATAATGAGCAGGGCAAGCATTTGGATTGGGGAATGCGTTTCGAAATAATATCTGGAATCGCTCAAGGATTATTATATCTTCATCAAGATTCTAGATTGAAAATCATTCATAGAGATTTAAAAGCTAGCAATGTGTTGTTAGATGACTCTATGGAGCCAAAAATATCTGATTTTGGAATTGCAAGAATTTTTGGAGAGCAACAAGTTCAAGACAACACAAACACTGTAGTTGGGACATAGTAAGGCTCTGTTTGCAATCTCTGTTGATAAGTGCTTTTGGCTTTTTTTTAAGAAAAAAAGCACTTATTTTACAAAACACTATCAACTTTTACTATCTCGGTTTTCGTGTAGAATCTACTTTTTACTTTTTCTATTACACAAAAAGCACTTATTTTACCAAACACTACCAACTTTTACTATTAATCACTTTTTCCCAAAAAGTGCTTTTATTTAAGCACAAGTGGTTGCAAACAAAGATTAAGTGTTCCCATTGATTTGGGTTTGGGTATTTTAAAATGAATTCACTAACATCTTCTTTTTGTATCACATATATAATATCATTATTTTTATTGATTGATTGCAGTGGTTATATGTCACCAGAATACGCAATGGCTGGACAATTCTCTGTGAAGTCAGATGTGTTTAGCTTTGGTGTATTATTGTTGGAAATTGTTTGCGGAAAGAAGAATAAGTATAGGTTCAGGGAGGAATCTGTCAACCTAATAGAAGATGCAAGTGCATAAGACTCTCTCTCTCTCTCTCTCTCTCTCTCTCTCTATATATATATATATATATATATATATATAATTGGGTTCAAATAAAAAGTGGCTCTTGGGTGAAAAATAAGAATTAATCTTGGTCATTGACGTGAAAAAATTGATGGAAGAGATCAAAATTTAAGTTGGAAACGCGGTGGCATTTTGGTAATGCCTTCCCGATCGAATTTTGAGGCACTGTTTAGCTCGGTAATGCCTTCCCGATCAAAATTCGATCGGGAAGGCATTCAAAATTTGTTGACCATTCTTAAGTCCTAACAACACATAACCCACACTTTTTATAATGTAAATAGACCATTCATAATCCTTAACCACACACCTCTAACATTTTTAAAATAAGCGAATTGACTGAGCATGTATCACGTTGTGAATTAATGATGTCAAAAGATTACTGGTTCATGCATGAACAAAAGGAGATTTGTTTTCGAGTTTCCAAAAATGTGATTAATCATGTTCAAGTTCTAAAAACTCCTAAATGTATATACTATATTGCCCCTCTTAAATGTTATTTGTTAAAATACTTTTATAAAGGTTATAAATTTCACATATTATAATAACTAAAATCAATATTATATTGTTCAGAGTTTATTATCATGTGGACCAAGAGAAAGTCAGTTTAGCTAAAAACAATTAGGGCGAAGAGAGTATGAAATAATAATTGTTTGAGGTAGCTCATACACTTTCATATCTATATTAAAAGAGAGAATTAAAAAGTGCAAGATAATCAACATAGGTATCTACTATAAGAAGAAAAGTGTTGGTGTAAACTTTAAAGTTATTTGGCATCTAATACAAATTAAATTGCATGTTTTTTATGTTTATAACAAGCAAACTGTTGGTGTAAACTTTAAAGTTGTTGGGCATCTAATACAAATTAAATTGCATGTATTTAATGTTGTAATCAATTATAATGGCTGATTTCAGGTATGGGAGTATTGGAGTTGTGATAAAGCTTTGGATGTCATCGACGCACAATTAGATATGTCGCTATATGACAATGGAGAAGTCTTGAGGTGTATTCATGTTGGCTTGTTATGCGTCCAACCATATCCAGAGGATAGACCAAGCATGTCAGATGTTGTTTTCATGTTGAGTAATGAAACCAAACTCCCTTTCCCTAACAAACCAGGTTTTAGTTTCAAATCAACCGGTGAACTCGAGTCATCTACCATGAGTATAGAAATGCAAACTTTTAGCAGTGTGACAATCACTGCCATTGAAGGACGATAAGTACTCACATATATTTACTTCCTCGGTCTCGATCATCGTAGTTTTCTTCTCCTTACCCTTTGTGTAGGATGTTCGAATTTTTCTTCGCATTTCCTTTTAAGAAATACTACCTCCGTCCCCCTAAGTTTGGGACAAGATAAGGTGACACGGTTATTAATAAAAGTGAGTTTATGTGGTTGATATTAAATTGATAAAGTAAGAATAAAGTATGAATGATTTAGAACCACACAAACTTTACCAAATAAGGTATGCGACAATCTTAGTGAGACGGACCGATAAGGTAAAATGGGACAATCATAGCGGAATGGAGGGAGTAATATGTATGCTTAACATCATATCATTACTTTGTTTTCTGATGGGGTTATGGGACTAGGCCCAGAGCCTAATCTTCCCAAGCCCCGAACTTGGACTTGTGCAGTGAGTCCAAGCCCACGATTTGAGCCAACAGACCTAAGCCCAAGCATGGGGCCTGCCTACCAACCTAACCAGGAGCCTACCAGCTCGGTCGATGTGGTGAGATGTGCTTGTGCTAGAGTTTATAAGGTGTAAGCATCCATTTGTTGTAGAAGTAATTGCGTGAATTAAATGTAATTGATTAATGCTATTAGGGTGTATTAGGGTTTGGGGATGTGATTTCTTCATTGTGCATTGAGAAATACGAATAGAATGTGAAGTTGTGGTTGTTCAAGGTGAATGCATTGTAGGTATATGTGGTGAAGTGATTGTTGGTTTTGAATGTGATGGTTTTGAAATACGTATAAGCTTTTTGAATGCGATGGTTTTGAAATACGTATAAGCTTAAGGTGTGTTTGTGGTGAGATGTGCTTGTGCTAAAGTTTAGAAAGTGGAAAAGTCCATTTGTGTTAGAAGTGATGAGGTGAATTAAATGTAATTGATTCATGCTTGTAGGGTGTATTAGGGTATGGGGATGTGATTTCTGCAATGTGCATTGAGAAATACTAGTATAGTGTGAAGTTGTGGTTGTTCAAGGTGAATGCAATAGAACTATTAGTATGTGATTTCCACTGCTTGTTAATGCATATATTTGGTAATAGATATTGCATTGTCACTACAACAAAAATGACATTTTGTAACACTTTAATTTGTAACACTTGCTTTTTTGTTACATAAGACATTCTAAAGTAAAATATGCAACACTTTTTCTTAAATGTTACATAGTCTAGTGAAGTACACAAATATGCAACAAATATGCAACACTTATAGTAAAGAATTGCATATGGGTGAATATTATGTAACACTTATTGACAAAATGTTGCAATTAATATAATAATTATAAGTATGAAACGTGTCCAAGTAACATATATTAAATTGTTACCTTGAGTTTGGTATTTACGTTTTAAAAACAAGACAATAGCTGCCAAAATGTTTTAAAAACAAAAAACTTCAAATACGAATCGAAATCGGCCGACAAAAAACATGTAAAACTGACCGAAACTGTTAAAACTGACTGAAATTAACCGAACTGAAACTGAACCGAAACAGTGGTGCGGTACGATTTTGACGATTTCACCTTTTCTAAAAGTGAAAACGATAAACCGAAACCAAAGAAACCACAAGGACTAAGACCCCTATTTTAAAATTTTGACTTCAGCAGTTCAGCTTACCTTCGCGTGCAGTTGCTTCTGGCCGGCCCTCTTTATACGTGAACAGAGAGCGAAGAATTGCAGTCCAAAGAGCAAACACAGCACAGACGCACACCCACAATCAACGAAGGCTAATGACCAGCCCGCGGCCGCCCATGCTCTGCTGCCATCGCTTGCTTGTTCCACCTCCTAAGAGCCGTCCTGACCTCGATCTTCCGCTCCAAACCTGACTTGCCATCGCAAACAGCGAACTAACAACGCGCTAACACCGCACCCCTATGCCGTCCTGACCTCCTCCACCCCGTTCGGACTCACTTCTTGCCGACTGAGAGAGGTCCTCCGCGCCGTCGATGTGCCCTCTCCGGATCCTCTTCAGGTCAGTAAATTTTATTTTTGATTGATTATTTTTACAAATCTCAGTTAATAATTGCCAATTTATAATACATTTTCTATTTATTAGATATACGTAGTATTTCAATACTTAGGGGTAGTCACATTTTGACTTACGGGTAGTCACTTGTCACTTGAGTTTCCAAGCACATTCTGAATTGCTTTATTCTAGTTCTCTTCGCATTGATTTATTTTTTGTCTCATTTTTCTTTCCGGTTTATTGTTTGTGCTTGTTGGATTTTGTATTTCCCTGCAGCTGATATTTCCCCATCTGAAGTTAGATATAAAGTATTTTGATTTGGGAATCCTTAACAGTGACGCCACTGATGACAAAATATAGTAGAAAGTGCTGAAGCCACTCTCAAGTAAGTCTGACCAACACTTTCTTTGTGGATCTATGGACTGTTTAGAGGAAATTTTATCTATTATTAAGTCTTCATTGTGTATAAGATTGTATGTCATTATGCTATTAGGATTTGGTTATGAAATGTGAGTTAAACTTTTCGCTTTCCTTGTAAATGCACTTTTGTTGTTCTAGATGAGACCGGAGTCAAGGAATTTGGACTGAAGTCCATGCCAAAGAGTCCCTATGGCACAATATAGAGGCCAAGCAAATGAAATTCGAGAATAATTTCATTCTAGGGCGAAGCAAATGAAATCCGACAAAAACATTCCCAGACTTGTTCCTGGTAATGTTGTACATGTTATTCCATTTGAGTGTAATACACACGTCATCTGACACCTATATCAGATACAACTTAATGACTTTCTCTTAAATCTACAGGTTGGAACAAACCCGTTTGAATTGGTAGGCATGCCTTTGGTGAGTAATACCGTGCCACCGATACCATCATTAAACACGCTGGAAAGCTCAAAATGGTTTTCTTGTGAGTTAATGATGTTTGATGCTATTCTGTATGCACTTGTTTCCTCTCATCCGCTATTTCATTTTGCTCCTCACAATTTGCTCGTCACTCGACTGGTCGAGAGTTTCCAGGTTTTTTTGCCGTTGGCTGCCACTTCCTCGTACTCAAGGTTTGATATGCTTTCTTCTCTTATTTAATTTACATGATTCCGAGTACAATTTTCCCAGTTTAAATATAGTTTCAGAAACATACCAAGGATTGGGTTTGTTTTGCAGAGCAGATATACATACCATGGATTGGGTTTGTTTTGTAGAGCAGATAAGACATCTTCCAAGGTGAATTAAGTTCAAGTTAAACTTGATTGCAATAAATGGTTTACAAACAGCTAATATACTGCCATTAGAATACTAGTATGTAGCCTAGTTGAGTGTGCATTTGCACTTTTTGTTCTGCAATTTAAGTTTAGGATAAGTAACAAGTGCATAAAATAATGTCGCTTAATAGGTATGCTATGCTTCAATTTGGCTTAGTCATTGAGGGCGTTCTTGATTTCTACTTTCTAGGTAAGTCAATTGGTGCTTTTCTGAGTAGTCTCTTCCCTGTGATGTCTCAAGATATTTTTTTATTCGGGCTATATTTTTTGCAGACTAATCTATCTCCAAGAAGACCGGGTGGTGCTTGACTTTTGTTCAGGTTTATGTTTCTGTTTGATAGCTTGAAGCTGCTATGAATAAAACTTCTTTAAAAATGTGTTTTCCATATAACCCTTAAATTTTACTACGTATTATAATTTTGTTGAAGAAATATAAGAGAGTAAAAGTAGTTAAGAAAAAATGGAACATAACACAGATTTAGTGATTTTGGTGGTATGTAACAAAGAAATTTAGCAACATGAACTCGAACCATATTTATGAAATAAGAATAACTATCTTCTAATAATGTCTGTGTTTATTTTAAACAGTCTTATATGATTCATCAGTCAAAATTGTTTCACAATAATAAAACTATTCAGTTAAACTATATGTCTATGAATAATTACATGGTGATGCTATTGTTTTAGTTATTACTGGTCTTCTTTTCTAGTAAGGAGCCAATATTGCAAAATGTTATGAGTCTTTTCTCCGTGCATAGAGAATGGCAATTAGATATGTAATTGCTCATCAATGCAAAACGAAACATAGATTTGGATGTGATTGTGGCTCCTATAGTTTTTATATAAATTTAATTTATTATCCTATGTTTCTTTCTTTAAATGTTATATTTCTTATAGGTTTCTTTCTTTAAATGTTATATTTCTTATAGGTTGAAATGAATATGTTGAGGCACAAATGAAGTGAAAAAGTGAAGTTGTATTGATATTTTCCCATGACTCATGAGAAAGGAGGGCATCCAATAATCCCTCGAAGATGTGTTACCAAGAAAGACATTAAGGCGAAAGAGATATTTTGTTGCTCGGAATGAAACGGTTATACGTAGTAGTTATGAACACTAGGAATGAGATTGAGTTGATATTGTACATATACTTGTATATAGACTATTTTGCTTGTAGTTCTGAAATTTAATTTATTACCTTGCCATGGATCCTGTGAGATATTTATTGATGTCAAAAAATTCATTGTAAATTATTAAGGTTTATTTTGAAACTTTTGATATTAATATATAAATATGATGGGAGGGAATCACAATGTACATAATACATGTGACATAATCATAGCGAAATTCATTGTTGCACGTTAAAAAAATGTTGCACATAGTAATGACACATGTTACATAATAGGTTACAAAATTACAAAATAAATGTTACAAAATATTAAAAGGATGTTGCATAAAGTAAAACTATAAGTGTTGCATTTTGTTCAAAACAAGTGTTGCAAAATAGTGTCTTTAAAAGTGTTGCAAAATAGTGTTGCATTTGGAATACTTATGTAACTGTTGTATTTAATGTTGCATAACATGAGAGAAAGTGTTGCGTATGACTTTATGCAAGTATGCAACGAGACCTGAAGTAACGCTTATAAAGGTGTTGCATAAGCCTTTTGCAACACTTAAACTGTCTATTGTAACACTCTAGGGGTGTTGCAAATGGTCTATTTTGTTGTAGTGTGTGGTGACTAATACCACGACATTGAATGCATTATCCATATGATGTGATTAGTAGAACTGAATACAAGATACTTGAAAGTGACGTGAATGAAAAAAAATCATTCCTTGAGGATTAAGTGATAAATGTGTGTAGAATGCAAATGCTTATTACTTTTTTTAATTGTATATTGAATCAGAAATTTATGTCTAATCTGTTTACTTGTGCAAATATAAGCTT